TTCCGCTACTTTGACCTTGACGTGTTCTTGGATGTGTGACTGGGTCCTTGAGGGGTCATCTGCGTCTGGGGACCAATATGCATATTGATATTGCCGGGATATGGAGTAGACGTCTGAAGCATTGCAGCTGGGGTCCTTATTCTTCTCCTTGCTCTTGGACGAGCACAAGGGGGTTCAGGGAAAGTGAAAGCAGAAGCAAAGAAGGGAAGAGGGACACTATCAGAAGCAGGGAGAGGGGTTGCAGAGGGGACGCACTTCTTGTTGGTCTTGATGTGACCGACTTGGCCGCAGTTGGCGCATTTGCGTTGGGTGCCTGCTCCTTTGCCGCTGCCACCGGGGCCTCCGTCGGCTGGGGAATCGCCGGCTGATGTGCGGGTCGCGCCTTTTTGTTTCTCGCGCGCGAATCGTCGCTCTTTGTTTCTGTTTAAGCGGCTGAGTTCGGCTTCGAGGCTGTGTATTTTTGTAAGTTTTGGCTTTGTTTTGTAGGACTGGAGTTGATATTAGGGTGGCTATGTTGATGACGTACAGTTTCTTGTTGCGAGCGTCTACTTCTGGATCGCCTGTTGGTTGGAGGTTCTCGAGCCTGGGGTGGTGGTTAGTTTGAGGGTGTTTTTGCGGATCTCATGTCAGTTGTACATACTTGGTGGTTAGAGCTTCCAACTTGTGGCGATGCTGGATATAGTGACGGATAACCCTGGGATCCCAGACCATGGTTTCTTTGGAATATATCTGGCCCTTGTCGTCCTTGAATTGTCGGACAATGCGCAAGACCTTACCTCTCTGATCCGGCATACTCATCTTGCTGAACTGGCTAGTTGTTTCGTCATCACGGCGGCCCGGACCTGGAGTGGGGGCTTCAGATCTTGGGGTAGGCTTGTTAAACTCCTCTTCTAATTCCCGGTCGATGTCACTGTCATCGTCCGAATGCTCGATCGTCGACGAGAGGCTGGCTTTTTGCGCATCCCAAATCCGACGGATCGAGGTTTCGTATGACTTTTGTTGTCTAGCGACGTTGTAACTGTGACCGCCGAGCTCTTTCAGTCTCTGGGCATCTAGCTTATCTTCAACACTTTCGCCAATGGCCTTGAAACCACCTTTCATGGAGGTCTTGATGAAACTGAAGCCCTCGCCACGACCAGTGGGGTCACCTTCTCCATGAAGTTTGAGCATAGCCTTGCCCTGAGATGCCAGGAGGAAATTACGAGTCGCCTTCCAAGGAGCCATCTGCTGCTCGAAGCTCTCTGTTTCCTCGTCATTATCCTCATCGCCCCCTGTTTCAGCATCGTTGCCATAACCCGTGTCATGCAGATGCTGCTGGCCGACCTGCATCGATTCTAGGAGACATACATCCTCGGGCTGAACCCATGAGCGGATTACGTCCTGCTCCGGGACGGGCTCGAGGGGCACCCAATATTTCGAATCTTTGTCATGTTGGAGGAAGTCTTTGACCTTCTGGCGGTTCTGCATATCGCTGGTTCCAGGGATGTGAGCGGTGACATCGCTGATCGAAAGTCGCAGATCAGGACTCTTCTTCAAGAGGCGATACACGAGCATCTTCATGCGATTCTTTGCAACAGTGGTGACCTTCCGTGAATGAGGGCCAGGAACATCCACCGATGGGAACTGTTGACCAGCGACAAACAGATTTTCAATATTCCTGATAAAATAATCACTGCCCCCAGAACCAGTGCTACTGCGTATGATTAAGAAATCTGTAGGCTTGGTCTCATGCTGGAACAGCGGAGCCCGATACATCGAGTTGGAGATAGCAGGGGTAATCTCGCCCGGGTCGACATGACCAAAAATGGAGAAAGGACTCTTATCCTGAGGGAGAAGAACCGCTGTTTCACCAATTTCTGCTTTTGGGCGAGTGGGGTCGTCCATATTTTTCCGACGATAGTAATTAATGATTCGATTAGACATGCCAAAGTTCGACAGCATGACGGGGACCTCCTCAGAATACTCCACCAGTAAGGCTGTGGAGTTGTCGGCAAGAGACAATGCCCTGGTAGAATTGTACAGAGTCTTGACATCCTTGCCCCTTTGATGCTTGCGTTTGATGTATGTAGAGTTTTTGAACCAACAAGTCTGGCCGGGCCGGAAAGATAAAGCTGGGCGATGAAACGACCGAGCCTCCGCTTTGGCAAGCTCGGTCTTGTAATATGGCCATTGCAGACGAAGAGCCGGCATACTGTGCTCGAGAGTGACATTGCCCAAGGTGCTTCGGACCTTGTTCTGGTGGTTTTGTTTCAGCATGTCGTATGCTTGATCATTTGATATGTTATAGCGTGAGGTGAGGCGGCGAGTGACATTAACATCCATTTCATCCCGATTAAGAGCACCAATAGCCTTGGGTTTCTGTGTCACAGATTCGGGTCCCCGTTCGTCGAGGAGGATGTGAGGATCATTCATGTCCACAGTCACCTTTTGCGCGATACGCGATGTTGCTCGCTCGGGATCATCAATCAATGGCACGTCTATATGAGAGAAAGCTATCAATTCCGCCGGGTCTCTGCCAAGCTTGCGCTTTTTCACTGGACGGGTAGTTTCTAGAAGCCAGTCATCTTCAGCATCCTCTGTCACCTCTTGAGCAATAGGTTCGTCAATATCCATGATAGAGATATCGCTCTTGACATCCCAATCCATACAAACCACGCGAAGATCATTCAACGTAACACCCCCCGGCAGAGCCTCATCGGTATCTGTGTCGAGGTCGAAGTCTTCTTTAGCCTCTTCTTCCTCTTCCTCCTCCGGTGTAGCCTCGGCAACAGCCACTACTCCCAGATGCTCCGACTCCAATGAGCGCTTCAACACCTGACCACCTGATTTAAAAGCCCTCTCCTGATCTTGCGCAAGCTCTATGTTGACTTTGCTAGGGAGCACAGGTTTGGGGGGCTTCGGGGGCTGCTTGCCGAGAAAGAAAGCTTTTTTGTGGGGGATAAGTTCGAGAAAGCGAGGAAGTGTTTTGCGATCAAATTTGGGGAACAGTGAGTGTAGAAGCTCTTCGACGTTTTCCGGGGGTGCGGGTGGATTGTCTGGGCCGACAGTCGACATGGCAAATAGAGCTTGTTGTAACTTCCATGCTCGCAGAGCCGCTGGGTCCATATCCTCAGCCACCGTACCTATGTCCTCGTCGTCCAAAATATCCTCGTCTTCTTCCATGGCCATGGGTTCCGGTTCAGGAGCAGGTGTCTCAACCGTGTCCGGCGCAGGTTGAGGCTGTTCGTCCTCCTCGAACAAATCACGGGTGGCATCGGCATGATCTTGAACAGGAGACGCGGGTCCCTCACCAAAGAGGTCATCGAGCTCATCGCCACCTTCTGGTTGTGGTTGTGTCTCGTCTCCCTGGTCGCCGAAAAGATCTTCTTCCTCCGCTTCAAACAAGCCTTTGTCCTCATCCATAGCTGCCTCTCCATTTTCTGCGGGAACTTGTGCCCTCTCCTCTTCTTCAGGAAGCTCATCGTCATCGAAATCCTCGTAGTCCACCGCGTCATCTGCTTTCTCGCCAGGTTCCAAGTCCCGCTGTAAGAAATCAAAAGACATGCCGCCATCTGCGAGGGGTCCGTTCATCTGGCGCATAACACTCTCAAAGTCGGCATCTTCGGCATCAGGTGCCGGGAGGTCGGTAGCGTGAGGCATATTGAAGGTAGCAAGTCGAGAGGATCAAACGACCAAATCTTCCGGTGAAATAACAGAGCGAGAGGGACAGGTCGATAGTCGGCGGATGCTCGGACAACTGGACGTTATGAAGGAGCGCACATGGAGAGCGATGGTGACTGCGCGTAAATCCAACCGGCTATCAGGTTTCTTGTGTCCGCGGGACGTAGTGAATTGCGGAGCGCGAAGATAGAAGCTGGTTTCGCGGCAAAGCAGCTTGGTCCGCTGTAGCTTATCTACGGAGTAATACTATCTCCGATACACTTTCCTTTCAGAAAAAATGTCACGTGATAACATTCTGGTGGGGCCAAAATTTAGGTAATTGACTAATTGAAGGTTGGCGGATCTGGATGGATCATAGAATCCTCAGGCCACGGCTTGGTTCGTTCTGTTGGCCAGTTATTTTACATCAACACTCGACAATTCTCACAACACGGAGCATATTCATACAGTAGAGGTCTTAGGTAACTCTTAGGATATTAAATGATTTCTATGTATGCTTATGTTGATCTTGATTTAACTGAAAATATCTCCTCGTGATTCTTCGTACAAAAGTCCTCGGTATATATTATTCATAACTGGGTTTGAGTCTATCTTCCAGTAGCCTGAGGCACGCGGACATCATGTTCTTTGGCCTCATGTTTAGCCATTAGCTGGGAATTAGTTAAGATTTCCTCAATCGCTATTGTCGCTGGCACGTTCCAGTTATCATTCATATACTCTATCTATAGCCAAAGTAATCGGCTATCCTTTCATCATGTCTATCGCGCTGTTTCATGGATTCTCTCCTGAGCATACTCCGTACGTAAATATTACCGGATGTAGACCCAGACACACATGACCTCGCTTCCCACTAGCGCCACCCGTCTAATATAAATACCGGCGAATTCCCATTCATTTCGAAAATCAAGCGACTCTACGTAAGTTCATCCCCCCCTACCTTGGGAATCTCAGAACAAAATTAAAGACCAAGAATGACTGCTAACATTTCTGCCTACAGTTCAAAGAATCACTTTAGAGTAGACGTCCCACCTCTGAACTCTTCTAAAGAGCTACAGAATCTCCACCCTTGCTGATGACTTCTATGTCCTCAATGCCCTAAAGTGAAGCCGTGTTTACTCTCGCCTCGATGGTTGGTATCTGCGAACGACTTGCTTCGGCGAGCTTGCTCGAGTGCCTTTCGTCCAGGGAGTGGTGATGATCTTTACCTTGTCTTGATGTCTTGACTTCGGTCGGTCAGATTTGGTGGGTGTTGAGGAGGTCTGAAAGGTGTTCGATCCCGATTTTTTTTTTTTTCACTTTGATGTTGGTGATATGATCGGGACTTGGAGTTTTTATGATACCCAAATTTGCTCAAATTAAACTATCATTTTCTCAAACATCTGATCCATTGTAAAACCGTATCTTAGACTCGATAACAGCGATAGTTCTGAATCGCCATGGGTAAAAAAGAAATTGTTCCTTTCATAAATTATATCAATTAGGCCTCGTGACGCTATAACCTTTGAGGGAAGTCTCAATGAAGCTCTAGAAAATCTGAAGTTTGTTCCACTCAATGTCCGACATGACACTAAAAGTCGACGCCCGGAGACACTCACATTATGAACCTACCTGTGGCACGGGTTTTGTAAACATCATTCGAATTGAACCACATTCGAAGCGATTTCTTGCTGTACACCGCTCTATAGCTCATTGCTAAATTTGTCCGGAGCCGGTGCTTATTGATAGGGTCTCCGAAGATTTCGAGGGCCAATTAAAGGCTGATGGATCTACGAAGATCGCACTATATGCCAATCTCAAATTGGGCGGCTAGCTGTATCCTCTTCAGGCTTATTGATTAGTTCCTCTATTAAGAGAATACTACCAATTGTTGAAGCCAAGCCACGCAGAGCAGAATTTGAGTTATTGGAGGTTGAACCCGCCGTAATAGATGCACAGCGCCTTGCTAGCGCCTTCCATACAATAATGCATCACTGTTGCTTTTCCCCCATCCTTGACTAGTTTCGCGAGCTGCTTCACGTTTGACGTCCGAGGAAGATAGAGGACCATATGCTCCGTAAACAAAGCATACTCGTTGTATAATGTAGCCAAGGAATAGGGTTCCATTGTGCTCAGATTGAACACTTTGTCGGAGCGATACCCAGGGCCTGTATATGTGTAAGCACCTTCGAAATCATCAACAAGTAAGAGGAATTGAGAACATACCACCCCACGGAGGGCTTGCAAACAGAACACTATATGGACCCAGGTCCTTGAGTTGGTTGTTCACGATCTGAAGACTGTCACCCTCGAACCAGGTGATTTTATCTTCAACTCCATATATCTTGGCATTGTGTTTCGCGCACAGCAGGACAGCCGGATTCTTCTCAATACCATATACACGTTTCCAGCGACCCGATCGCGCAAAGGCGATGGTATTCCCGCCGGCTCCAGCAAATGCATCAACTAGGACCATGCGAGACGGGGGAGCAGCGCTGGCAATATGCTCAGCTATCTCACTGTAAAAGTGATCTTAGTCCACCATAAATCGAAAGACAAAGAATCATCCACTCACTTAGCAACAGGCTCGGGCGTAACGCCAAACCATGCATCGTCTGTTAGCCATACACCCTCATCATACTTGGAGAAGATCTTATAGCGCTGGGCCCAATAACTGCGTAGAGTGAGCTGTATATCCGGATATCATATGCTGGGGTGAATTTGATAGTAATCGCATACTTCTGGATATCCCAAGGAACTTCACCGATATCGTTGTAATGGTGAACCTCCGGGGGAGCTTCCTCTGTTGTATGTTCTCCAGACATGACTGAAGTGGAAAAAATACAAATTTGATGTCACCAAAGGAGTGTATGATTTATTTATCACATGCCATCATTCGAACTCCTGTCGGATTTTCATACAGAAATCTAGAAAGCGCGATAAATAATCATGATGCTGATAAGTTGATAACGTGGGTGTTTGTCTGGTTTGCAACTGGGCAGCAGCTCTCCACAATGCGATCGTGTTTACAGCAACCAGAACTCGGAGTTATACTCAGGTTAATACACCTCACCAGATAAACTTTTCTAACAAAGGCCGATCATGTTCGGAGTTCTGAACCGCTTTATCGGCCACCTGGACGGCGAACCGGTCCAGCAGCCTCGAGCTACCACCAACGATAATGCATTTGGATTCCAAGTACTCCGCAACAAGGACCCGGAACTTCCCCTGGAGCCATGGTTTGACTTCATTGTTGGCATTAATGGGCGTCTGATTGTGGGTGCAGATACAGCATTTCTGGTTTGAAGTGATATACTAACTATACTATGACCAGGACTATCCGGACCCGAATCTCTTCGCTACCGAAGTTCGTAATTGCGCAGGTTCCAATGTGACATTCGAAGTTTGGAGTGCGAAGGTGGGCTCTGTCCAAATCTTGCCATACTACATCTTATTCTAACCAATATGGTTATGTATAGGGTCAGAAGACACACACCGTCTCTATTCCAATCTCTCCATCCAATCCTACGCTGGGCCTTGCATTGCAGCTTGCGCCTCTTTCCTCGACACAACATATCTGGCATGTGTTGAACATCCCGTCACCGCTCAGTCCGGCATACCGGGCAGGGCTACTTCCACACTCAGACTACATCATTGGAACGCCTAGTGGAACGTTACGGGGAGAATCCGCACTGGGAGAATTGGTGGAGGACCACCTGGACCGAACACTGGTGTTATGGGTGTACAACAGCGAATTCGACGTAGTACGTGAGGTTGAATTGGTGCCCACCCGAGGCTGGGGTGGTGAGGGCGCATTAGGGGCCGAACTAGGCTACGGTGCATTACACAGACTACCCGTTGGGTTGGGTGAGGAGGTAGAAGGCCCTGGCGAGGTAGTATTTGAAACGCGTGCGGATGGCACCTCCACTCCCGTCCTGGACCCGATGAATCCGACTCAGGGCCAGGGTGTCGGACCTGGTGCCACCGCTGGCGGTCATTTTCTGGTCCCGGCCAATATGACAACGCCGCCTCCCTTGGCGTCGCAGGCGCCACGAAGCCTTTCTGGGTCACCAGCGCCTGGACCATCACCTGCTGCGCGCCGTGGCAAGACCCGCCAATACGCCGTTTCGCCTAACCGGGCATTCGATGAGTATTTTGCCGAGGGGGAACAGAAGAGTAAAGAGCAGGACTACGCTCCGTCACGGAAGGGAACGCCCCTGCCTCCTCCGCCAAAAGGAATTCGGTCGCCGCCGCCGCCGCCGTCGTCAGGAAGCCCCGCGCCGGCGACGGAGTAGGGAAGCGGACTGCCTGATGAACTAGGTATTCCGATCGTAGAGTTTCTCGTTTGTAGAGTATCATGAGTCTCCGGAGTTACGATGGTCGAGTGGGGTATGATATACCAATTGATGGATTCCCAATTTCAGTCAATCTTTCACAGCGATGCTGCGCACCACTTTCTACTCCACCAAATTTTAAACATGAGGCGAATGTGCCGAACAGGGAGTCCTTGAATCTAACTGTTTAAAGTACACATATGCAATGGAATTTAAGCCATCCAAGCCGATAGTCGCAGCACAGGCTTCAAATGGCATCCGCTACAAGGAAAACAACCGAACAAAGGGGGAGAGACAGATTGAAAATGCAATAATCTAGTGACCCTTGCTGACCAGCTCCTCCAGCTTCTTGCGAGTCTCTCCGATTTTATCTTCCATCATGGCTCGCGCCATGCCGCTGTGTGCCACGCCAGTAGACCAGATATGCTCAGCCCGTTCACGGAGGTAGAGGTGCTGCTCGGCAATAGCGGGGACCTTCTTCTCGTACTCCCACACCAGGTCGGAGATGTTGCGCATCGTCACGGGCAGGAGGGACCAGGCGGCCACGGTACCGAACGCGAGCGGAGAGGCGGTGCGCAGGAAGATACCACGGTTGCGGGACACAATAGAACCGGCCATGGCAGAGACGATGACATAGGCGCCACCGGGGAGGAGACGCTCACCGGACTCGGGCGACGGGGCCAACGAAGCGATGGTGTTGGTGAAAGCGTTCTCGATGTGGAGGGCCCGGGACAGGAAGTCGTTGAAGCAGTTCTCAGCGGCGAGGGAGTTTTCGTAGAGGAAAAGACGGGCGTGTCGGACCTGAGCCGTCAAGATATCTGTAGGAGTAGGGGACGAGGAGGAGGATGGGGACGACTTGGGAGGAGCAGGAGGAAGGGTCTTCGTGGGTTCCGGGATATCGGCCGGGAAGTCATCATAGATAGGTTTCCTCTGCACGAATCGCAATGATTAGAATGAGACGCTTGGGATGTATGGACTAGAGCTCTTCTAGTCTAGAAAAGCTTAGGTCAGATCATACGGCATTCTTAGGCTCCTCAGCAAAGGCGGTTCGCCGGGGATAGAAGGCTACACCTCCAGCCAAAAGAGTGGCAGCGATGGGGGCCACAGCCCGCTAAACGGCGTCAGTACTGAAGAAGAATACTTGGATTAGATTACGGAAGAGCCGGGGAGTCTACCTGCTGGAACATCGGCCGAAAGGACATGCTGCACGAGGCCAATGGACGGAAGAACAAGACGGGGAGTGATTTGAAGGTCGTCTGAGGGCTTGTTGAAGTTCACGGGAAAGCGTGACTACGCCAAGACTTTTTTTCGGCGGGCGTTCGGCTGTTCCTCCGTCATCGTCCGGCCTTCACTTTTGACTCTCTTGAGACTCTCGCCTTGATTTTCCCCCATTTTCCCCTCTTTCTTTCCCCCATCTCACGGATTATTTAAGATCTACTTTACTTTCTGTCAATTCCGCGCTGTTGACTCTTGAATTTTTGACTATCATATTTACAACATCCATGCTGAATTGAGCTTCCTTTGCTCCAATGGCAGGACACATGCTGATGCCGCTCCGGCGTCGGCCATGGACCTGTCGGGCATGCCTGCAGCGACTGCAGCAACCTCGTCGATCCTTGGAAACCGCCGCGTCGCCCTCCTCCCAGTCGGATGTATACGATTACACCCCCACAAACCATTCCACCCAGAAAAAGACTAACGACGAAACCCTTCGACGAGTGTTCGATTCGCAACCGTTCTGGAGAGAGTTTTCGCAGCGTAGCGCCACCCAATCCAAGCCCACCGGATTAGTTCAGAACCAATACTTGACCAACCCCGATGGATTTCGCGCTTTTGCCAATGTCTCCCTACAGAGATGTCAAGCAATCGTCTCCAAAGTCCTTTCCGCCTCCACGCTGGAAGAATATCGGGACATGGCTCGGGATCTTGACCGGCTGAGTGATCTGCTCTGCCGAGTGATCGACCTGTCAGATTTTATCAGAGTCATTCACCCTGACCCGCGCGTGCAGGAGGCGGCTACGCAGGCGTATGCGCTAATGTTCGAGTACATGAATGTTCTGAATACGACCACAGGGCTCAACGATCAGCTGAAGAAGGCGGCCAGCAATCCGGATGTAACTTCGCACTGGTCGGAGGAGGAGAAGATTGTGGCGCAGATTCTGATTAAGGATTTCTCCAATTCCGCTATTCACATGCCACCAAACGAGAGACAGCGATTCGTGAACCTATCAAACGACATCAGTCAGCTCGGGTCAAACTTTGTTAATAGCGCCGAGCCCGCCAAATCGCAGGTGGTGGTAGGCGCCAATAGTCTGCGGGGACTGGACCCGATTCTTGTCCAGCAGATCAGACGATGGAATCGTACCGCGTCGGTTCCGACGACGGGCATGATCCCACGGCTGGCGTTGCGGTCAGTTCACGACGAGGGTGTCCGCAGAGATGTTTATCTGGCGACTCGAACATCCAGCTCGCGCCAGCTCCATCGATTGGAGGAACTGCTCAGCAAACGGGCGGAGCTCGCCCAGCTGTCGGGCCACTCCAGCTTCGGCCATATGACGCTCAGCGATAAAATGGCCAAAAGCCCCGAGGCGGTTTCCAACTTTCTGACGGCGTTGGTGGGCAGCAACCGCGAGTATGTTCAGGAAGAACTGTCCAAGTTACAGGCGATGAAGGGAGCGTCCCCATTGCAGCCGTGGGACCACGCCTACTATGTTCATCAACGCGTCCTGCAATATTCGCAGTCCCGGCGGTCGCGTGAGCTGAGTGCTGTACCCGAGTTCTTCTCTTTGGGTACGGTGATGCAAGGGTTGTCGCGGCTTTTTGACCGCCTTTATGGTGTCCGGCTCGTGCCGCAGGAGACAGCTGCAGGTGAGACGTGGAACCCAGACGTGCGTCGATTGGACGTCGTCGACGAAGCCGACAGACATATTGCAGTGATCTACTGTGACCTGTTCTCTCGGCCGAACAAACATCCCAACCCTGCTCATTTCACCTTGCGATGCGCTCGGGAGATCTCCTCGGAAGAAGTGGCGGAGTGTGCCACAATGGATCATTCGGCACACCCCAACGATGGAATGGCCACAGCGGTTGATCCGCAATCGAAGACCCTCCGACAGCTGCCGACAATCGCATTGGTGTGTGACTTCGCGGAGCCGCCAGCGACCGGCGCGGGGCGCCCGTCGTTGCTCAGCGAACACAGTGTCCGGACGCTGTTCCACGAAATGGGTCATGCGCTGCATTCCATTTTGGGACAGACTCGGTTGCAGTCGATTTCCGGGACGCGGTGCGCAACCGATTTCGCCGAATTACCGTCGGTTCTCATGGAGCGGTTTGCTACCGAGCCCGCGGTGCTCTCCATGTACGCCCGTCATTGGCAGACCGACCAACCGCTGTCCGAGAGTATGATGTTGAGCATGGAGAAGGATCGCCTGGCCCACGGTTCGATCTACGGTGCCGTGGAGAACGAGGCCCAGATCCTCATGGCGCTGGTGGATCAGGCATACCACTCGATCCCGGCCGACAAAGCCGGCCAGATTGACAGCACGGCGATCTACCACCAGGTCTCGTCGGCCCACTCGACCCTACCCGATCCGACGGACAGCCGGCCACCCACCTCGTGGCAAGGGTTCTTCGGTCATCTCTATGGCTACGGTGCGACCTACTACAGTTATATCTTCGACCGGGCGATCGCCAACAAGATCTGGGAGGATGTCTTCCAGGCGGGCAAAGCGGCGGTGGATCGCGAGGCCGGCGAGCGATACAAGAATGAAGTGCTCCGCTGGGGCGGTGGACGTAACGGATGGGATTGCGTGGCAGGCGTGTTGGGAAGCACCAACGCGGCCAACGCAAATGGACGACTGGCGGAAGGCGGCGACGAAGCCATGCGGGAAGTCGGACGATGGGGTTTGGGCCGGGATGGAGTCTCGGGCTAAACCATGCAGGAATATGCAATATAAAATCCTGTAAATACTAGACTAACCTAACCTAACTAACTAACTATTACTAGAACAACAACAATAATACCCATGTCTCACTTTCGTCCTATTTTCTCCCCAAATTAATTCCCAAGTCTCAAACTTACTTATCTTACGTCTGCTGACCGCGTAAGGGGAAAGAAAAAAAAAAAAAAAGAAACATCAACGGGCGCCAGTGTTACGACCAACAGCCTCGGCATGCATCCCTTGGCTACCACTGTAGACATCTCAGATGCATGTGTTTTCGTTATCTTGAATTTAAATAAAAATCACTAGTCATGGTTTCCCACCTAATTCTGGAAAAAGACCCGGTCTTTTAACGGTGAAGCAACGGTTTTTTTTTTTTTTTTTTGTAATTCATTGTATTTTAGTTTTTATTTTAGTTTTTATTTTCCCGGCAGAAACCGTTCTTATCTGGGGTTGGGGTTTCCTTTATATATCTCTCTGGTCTTATTTATTACTTACCATATTAGTAGCCAACTTTGTCTCCCTCAAATGCATGTCTGAGACTAGACTACGTATCTCTCTGTCTGTCTAACTTTTATATTGCTCTTTTTTCTTTCACCTCAGTAATTAGACATGGTAACTCCTTACGTTGTTTTATTTATCTAACCAATGCCTATACTCATTAATCAAACTCATTGACATACACGCTACCTTACACCAAAGGAATAAACAACAACTCCACAACCAACACAATCACCAAACCCACCTAATTCAATTCAATTCAACTCAACCCAAACCAAAGAAAAAGGAAAAGGACCAAGAATACATGCCAACCCAAAAGAAAAGAAACCAACAAAATGCCCCCCATAAAAATCCTCCCCTCCAACAACAACAACAACAACAACAACAACGACAACAACACCACTACCACCACATCATCCATATCCAGCTTCACGACCTCAATCTCCACAAATTCACTCTCTTCAAAGCATAACAACACCAATACTCACCAACAACAAACACTCACCCGCCGTCCAACATTAACCAATCTTACAAGATGGGTCTCGAGGAAGATATCTCGACAGAGACTGCCTGATCATACTAGTTCTAGTCGTGATGGGGATCTCAATGAGGAGGAGGAGGAAGGGAGAAGGACGGAGGATGATTATGCGGCTTGGTGTTGGGCTTTTAGTGAGGGGAGGACTACGGGACCTTATTCTCATTCTCAGGGGAATACTACTAATACTTATCCTCGTCGGTGTGACGAGTATGGGGATAATCAGGGGTATGAGTATGATCATGGGTATGGGTCTTCTTATCCTGAGCATGGTCATGGTCATGGTCATGGCCATGACCATGGACAAGAACATGAACAAAGCTATGATGAGAATCTATTCTCAGATTTCGACGGACAAAGCCCTAGAAATGACTGTTCCACGGGAAAGTCCGAGGCCCCGACATCCGCAGATCATGGTGGGGAACAACAGGGCGGCAATACGACGAACACGAGGGGAACGTACACGTTTCTCCAGAACCAAGATGATCGACTGGGACGACACGAGAGCTCGGAAAGTGTTCCGGCGGATCAGCTGTTGCGATTTACGCCGATCGGTCACTATGGGTATAGTCCCTTGACGGCGGGGTCACCAGTGTCGCCGCCACCTCGCATCCTGACGCCGGCCAGGTATGCGGAGACGAATCGGATGGAGAGGGAGAAAAGTAATGAACTGAAGCAAAAGCAGAAGGCGCAGAAGGGCTTTTGGGGGCCGGTTCGAGCGCTGTGGCTTTCTTTGCGGCGGTCGAGGTGACATTCTACTACTTACTATATGTAATATTCTGTCCATTCCTTTTACATTTCTTTTTTCTTTTCTTTTCTTTTTTTTTTTTTCTTTCTATGTTTTATGTGTTACTACAATGTGTTTCCTACATTGCGATTGATACCCATGGAGAGAATGAATGTCAGCGGTAGTTTAATCATATAAGAAAAAATATCATACTGGTTCTTCCTTTCTCTCTCTCTCTTGACACGGTAAACATGTCCGATATAGTACACTGCATTAATCTGTGACCCATGACTGCACACATAAGAAAAAACAAAGAAAATAAAATAAAAATAAAATAAAATAAAAAAGGAAAATCTTGCGGCCTAAGACCAACGCCTCATGGAGTCTTTGAACAACGCATCGTTCGCTGTCCAGCCCCAGTCGAGGTCCAGTCCACAATAAAATAAAATCTGCATGAGCGGCGATCACAGCGGAGGCTAAACAGGGGTATCCTGAGCTCTTATTACATACAACTGCATAGCTAATACAAGAAGAACCGATAATTCCAATCAGATACAAAGGAAAGATACGTCGAGGTCATGCGTAACCTCGTTCACCAACCATGTCGATTACCTCGACGCTCCTTCGCCAGCCTGATTGTCATCCGAACTGCTGCTTGACCTCTCCGGCTGTGGAGTCATCGCGGGGCTTCGATCAGGTGTTGTGCGTTGCGACACTAAAGCAAGCTCCCGAATGAGTCTAAGACAGTATTAGTTTAAGCCTTCGAAAGACAAAGGAGGTTAACCTACCGTTGGTGCTCGTCGTACCAGTCGTCGTTGGCCGTGCGGATGTGCTTAAGCTGTTCCTGAATGCTTGCTATCTGCAAGAACCGTCCAATTAGTATTCCTGTCTGCCGAGGGAACGGACCATGTTAGGTGAAGGGGTGATAATCGGGGATTTCTGAAGGGCAGGTCGATGATAAACGGGGAGGTCCCACCGTTCCCTCAATGGATGAACCAAGGTCCTCACCTTCCGCTGCGGCCGGACCTGCGTCTCCTCCAGCAGGGGCCTTCTCGCCTTCGGCCGCCCACCGGCTGCTCTCAAGCCCTGCGCCCTTGCCCTCGGCCTTCAGGGACGCCACTTCAGCCTCGAGCTCACGAATGCGCTTGCGGCTGCTCGAGATCGCCGAATCGACTTCGCCTAACTGGTTGAGCAACGACATGTTCTTGTCGATCTGATCGTTCAGGTCCCTCTCGCCTTGGATGAGTTTCTCGTCCATCGCCCGGTTCTGCGTCCTCAGCTCGTCGAGTTCAATGTGAATGGCTTCCTGCTTGCTCTTAACCTGCGACAACTCCTCCAGAGATGCTGACAGCTGCTGCTGCACGGTCTCGACTTCCGACTTGGAGCTGGCAGAAGCCGCCGCAAGCTCTTCGAGCTCCTTCGCCCGGCTGCTCACGGTCTGGTGCTTCTGCTCCCACTCGTTCTTCTCGGCCTCGAGCTTGGAAAGCTCAGCACCCTGCTTGCTGGCGATCTCTTTCGACTCCGCAACGGATTGCTCAGCAGCAGACAGCTTCTTCTCCATGTCCGCAATGGTGGCCTTCAAGGCATCCAAGACAGAGCTATCCTGGGCAGCTGCCTGCGCGTGAGAAAGCTGCTCATGAACCTCTGCAAGAGCCGCCTCGTGTGACTTCTGGAGCTCCTCAACCTTAGCCTTGTTGGAGGATTCAAGATCAGCTCGGACGCTAGAGAGCTTCTCTTCGTGGACAGTAAGGAGTTCTTCAATTGCCTTGCTGTGCTCGGCCTCAGTCTCCGCAGCCTTAGACTCCCGAAGAGCTTCCAGCTCGGCGTGCAACTGAGCCTTGGTCTCACTGTACTCCTTCTGGAGAGCAGCCAGTTCCGTGTCGTGAGCCTCGGTGTGGGAGGCAAGCTCACCGGCGTGGCGTTCAAGGGTGGCCTTGAGCTCCGTCTCGAGAGTCTCAATCTTCTGCGCGTGGCTGGTCTCCAGCTCGCGGTTGGTGGACGACAGTGCATCAAGCTTGGCCTGGACTTCACTGAGAGCTTCATTATGGGATCCAGCGGCATCTGCCTTGGCCTTCTCCAGCTCGGCAGCGTGTTGCGCCTTCAACTCTTCCAGGATCTGAGAGTGTTTGTCGGCAGTAGCAGCCGCCTCCTTGAGGTGCTCCTCCAGTGCCTTCTCGGCCACAGCGGCCTTCTCCTCAAGGGCCTGGGAGTGCTTGTCGGCATTGGCAGAAGCTTCTTTCAGGTGCTCCTCAAGCGCCTTCTCAGCTGCGGCGGCCTTCTCCTCAAGCGCTCTCAGCTGGCTTTCTTGCTCGGCATCCTTAGCCTTGGTTTTACTCTCGAATTCAACGAGGCTTTGCTGCAGCGCCTCGGCCTCTTGCCGTTTGCTGTGAACCTCATCATGCAGAGACTTGATTGCGTCTTGTTCGGTCGATAATTGGGACTCCAACGCGCCAACCTTCTCTTTGAGTTCCTCAATTTCTTGAACAGCAACGGCCTGGGCGGAGTTAGCACTCTCCTCCGCCGCTTGTCGTGCTTCACTGAGAGCCTGCTCTGCCGCTTCCAGTTTTTGCTGAAGGGCCTGTAGCTCCACCTGGTGAGCGGCATCTAGTTCGCTGGCAGCCTCTTCCCGGCCCTTCTTTGCCGCAGCTTCTGCAGCCTCCAGTGCATCCCGAAGTTCCTGGAGCTGCTGGGAATGAGTGGTACCGGCCGATTCAACGGCTTCCTTGGCAACCGCGAGTTCTTGGGCGTGGGCCGTGGATGCAGAGGCCAGGGCTTCATCATGCTCCGCCTTGAGTTTCGCGACAGCAGCTTCATGGGCCGTTTCCAACTCCTTGATCTTCTCATCCCGTGCATTTGCGGCGGACTCGCGTGTCTCCAGGAATTCGGCCTCCATCTTCTTCATAGCCTCCTTCAGCTCTGCGATTTCCTTGACTTTTTCAGCGACAACTTCAGGCGTTTCCTCATTACCCTTCGCAGCCGACTCCGCCTCGGCGAGCTTGGCAGTCAGAGACGCAACCTGTTCCTCGAGGGTGGAAACCGCCTGTTTGGCAGACTCCTCCGCTGCGCGAACTCCATCTTCCTTAGCTTGATTTAACTTCTGCATCTCGATGTTCAGATTGGCGATCACTTGATCACGGCCGTTCAGTTCCCGTTCGAGGCTATCCAGGGCCAAGGCTTTCTCCTCCTGGAATCCTTTGGTGACCGTTTCCAGGTTGGCTTTCTGTGATTCCAATTCCGCCTTCAGAGATTCGATCTGCTCCGCATATGCAGCGGTGGAAACTTTCTGCTCCGCGAGCTCCTTCTCCAGGGCCTCCAGCTGCGCTTGATAGGACGCCTTTAGCTCCTCCAAGGCTGCAGCAGTCTGGTCGTCTCCTTGGGCAGAGGCAGATTTGGCCGCTTCATCCAAATCCTTCAGAGACTTCTCTTCCAACTCTTTCCGCGTCGCCTCGGCCTCTTCCAGCTGGACCCGCAAGGCTTGCAATTGCTCCGCATGGTCTGCGGCCAGCCGTTCGAGCTCGGCTGCGTGCTGTTCCCGAAGGGTCTTGAGGGCCTCTTCTTGGTCCTTGGAGCTGTCCTCAGTCTGAGACACTGACAGCTGGGCCAGTTTCTCATTCACTGCGTCTAACTCGGCTTTCAGGCCGGCCACGGTCGTCTCACTTTCGGACAGTTTACTCTGAAGGGCGTTCAGTTTTTCCGCGTCCTCCTCCGAGGTCTTGGTCACTGTGCTCAACCTCTTCGTAGCAGTCGACGTGGGCCGGGTGGCCGTCGAGGGCCGGGTTACCGTCCGCGTAGCACTCGTCGAGGAACTCGAAGGGCGAGCAGTTGACGTAGTGGTAGGCTTCGTCGCAGTCCTCGCCGAAGCGGTGCTGGTACGCGATACCGAGGACACAGAGCTCCTCTTCTCAGCAGTTGTGGTGCTTGCAATGCTCGACCGCCGGTCGTGAATGGAGCTCGGCCGCGGTGCCCGGGTGGTCGGGGTCCCGACGAGAGACATACGCTTCGCCGTACCGGAGATGCCCCGCTTCTCATCGGAAGAGCTTACAGCGCCTCGGGATTTCTCATCGGCGGAGCTACTGATCGAGGCACGAGATCGGTGCGAGGCTGTCGTGGACGTGCTCAGGGGCTTCCGGACGGTCGAGGTAGTAGCCGGGCGGGTAGGAGGCTTGCTCAAAGTGCTGCCATTCACCGATGCACGGGAGGTGGACGTGGTCTTCGGCGGGCCGGACATGGAGCTGGGCCTTTTGGTAGTTGTTCCCGAGACTGGCTGCTTGGTGGCGGTAGTCGAGGTTGGGCGGCTCTTAACCGGCGAGGCCTTGGTATTCTCTTTGTCCTTGGAGACGTCCGGGCTGGTCAGAGGTCCCTCGCTGCCGGACATGACGGTCGACTCGATTGGGGTCGCGGGGGGTGCATTTTCGGAATCGACCTCGACGGGGGCGGCAACCGGGACAGGTTCCTCAGTAGAAGCCATTGTGAGTGGGCGGGAGTTGGGAATTGTTTCCAGGGTCGGTAGGAAGTCAGGTACGGAACCAGTGATGGGTCTTCAATGGCGGTCTAGCGAATTGAGACAGTCCACGTTAGTCTCGGTGGGCAACCAACAAACTTGGTGATTGGGCTATAAACCCATGCAATGCTCAACCAGGAGCTCCCCGCAATGCAGGGTTTGCGAAGGTTAGGTGCATATGGCATGCAGAGAGACGATCCATGATTCTGGTCGAAACCGCGGCGGTGGAGGTCACTCGGGGCGGTTCTCCTTTTCAGTCCTTCCGAGGTTCCCCTGAAGATAAAACAAAACAATAAAGCACTTACTCAACAATGCACTGGACCGTCAATTGAACGAGACCGGGTAGAAGGTACAGGAACTCGCTGAGTCGGTACCTTGCAGCTCGGGTGTTGGAAAGTCTCAGACGCGTGGTTTGTCCTTTATCCCGAAAGTGACGATGCAAACAAAGAGACAAAGTAACCCACCCACACCGCACGGAGGAGGTGAGAAGAACAGAAGGGAATTAAAGAGAATATACTATTAATCAAATTAAAATGGTACAAGAAAAGGAATAAAGCGGGGAGGGGGAAAAGGGTGAAATGAGGTGGTGGATG